TAAATTATGCAATTATAATTAATTTATAAAGTAACCACTAAAAAAGTTATGCAAAAAGATACACTCAAAAGACTAGAAAAAAACGGGGCACCCGGGTGGCTCAGTGGGTTAAGCCCCTACCTTCAACTCAGGTCATGATCTTAGGGTCCTGGGATCGAGCCCCGCATCGGGCTCTCTGCTCAGCAGGGAGCCTGCTTCCCCCTCCCTCTCTCTGCCTGCCTCTCTGCCTACTTGTGATCTCTGTCAAATAAATAAAGTTTTTTAAAAAAAGACTAGAAAAAAACTAAAATGGAATTCTAAAAAATGTTCAAGTAACCCATAGGAACATAGGAAAATGTAGAAGATAGAAAGCAGAGAGAATAAAAAAAAATAATAAATGGAAGACTTAAGCACAAATATATTAAATGTAAATAGTTTAAGTATACCAATTAAAAGACAAAGAATAGATAAAAAACATTAACAGTGTGTTGTCTACTAGAAATTCACTTCTCATATAACATAGTCAAATTGAAAGTAAAGGGAGTAGAAGAACTATCATGTAAACATTAATCAGAGCCAAACAGGAGTGGCTATATTAACATCAAATAAAGTAGACTTCAGAGCAAAGAAAATTACTCTGGACAGAGAAAGACTTTATCTAATGATAAAAGTGTCCCTCTATCAAGAGGATATAGTAATCCTGAATGTGTATTCATAAAACAAAGCTGTGAAATATGGAAGCAAAAACTGACAGAAACGAAAGGAGAAATATATAAATCCATGATTATATTTGGAGACTTTAACATCCCTTCTCTCAACATTTGATTGGAACTATTCAGAAAATCAGCAAGACTACCTTAGAAGACCTGCATGGCATCATCAACCAATAGGATTCAATTGAAAGTAATAGAAGGCTTAACCTGAAACAGCGAATATACATTCTTTGCAAGTAACCAAAGAACATACACCAAGACAGACCATATGCTGAACCATTGAACCATTAATCCATTAAACAAATTTCAACAACCATAAAAGAACTGAAATCACACAGAATGTGGTCTCTGACCCCAGTGGGCTCTAACTAGGAATCAGTAACAGAAAGATCCCAAGAGGGGCACCTGGGTGGCTCAGTGGGCAGTGTTAAGAGGGAAATTATAGCACTAGATTAGAAAAGAGGAAAAGTCTCAAATCAATAATTCACACTCACCTCAAAACCTAAAAACAGAAGTGCAGAAAAAATCCAAACCTAGCAGGAAAAGGCAGTGGTAAAGATAAGGGCAGAAATCAACAAAATTATAAGGAGAAAAATAATCTTTAAAAAATAAACTATCGGGATGCCTGGGTGGCTCAGTTGGTTAAGCAGCTGCCTTCGGCTCAGGTCATGATCCCAGCGTCCTGGGATCGAGTCCCGCATCGGGCTCCTTGCTCAGCAGGGAGCCTGCTTCTCCCTCTGCCTCTGCCTGCCATTCTGTCTGCCTGCACTCACTCTCTCTCCCTCTCTCTCTGACAAATAAATAAAATCTTTAAAAAAAAAAAACTATCCAAAGTTATCCACACTTATCCAGTTTGTTCTCAAAAAGATCAAATTGACAAACCTCCAGTAGGTCTAAAAAAAAAAAACAAAAATAGGGAAATAAAAAAGTTACCAATATCAAGAATGCAACAGGTGCATATGCACCTGGTGTTATGCAGTAGGTGATATTACTATAGCACTTGCAGATATTCAAAAGATAATAGGGAAATACAATGAATATCCTCACACACATAAATTTGGCAACTCAGATGAAATAGACCAATTTCACACACACAAAAGTACAAATTACAACTAGTCACCCAATATAAAATAGATAATCTAAATAATTCTATATCTATATTAAAAACCTTTAAGTTTATAATTTTAAAATTCTCCTGAAGAAATCCACACATCCAAATGGTTTCACTGGAGAACAAAAGGATACTACCATACACATTATTTTCCAGAAAATCAAAGAGAAGACCTCCTAATTCATATTGTGAATCTAGTATTATCCTGATACTAAAAACAGACAAAGATCATACAAAAAAGAGAAAAAAGCAAGCTAAAGACAAATGATCTTCATGAGTATATGGACACAAAATTTCTTTTCTTTTCTTTTCTTTTTTTTGTTAGTAAGCTCTATACCCAACATGGGGCCTGACTCACAACCCCAGGAGCAAGAGCTGCATGTTCTATCAACTGAGCCAGCCAGGCGCCCCTAGGCACAAAATTTCTTAATAAAAATATTTGCAAATAGAATTCAGCAATATATAAAAAGAATTATACACTCTGGGATGGTGGTATTTCAAGGGTGTAAGTCTAATTCAATAATCAGTAATCAGCCAGTGTAAACCACCATATTAATAGGCTAAAGAAAAGAAAATCACATATGAATCGATGCAGAAAAACATCTGACAAAATTCAATACCCATTCATGATAAAAACTTTGAAAACTAGGGACAGAGGGGAACTTCTTCAACTTGAGGGAGTGTCTACAAAATACCTACAGGTAGCATACTTAATGGTGAACTATTAAATGCTTTCTGCCTAAGATTGTGAGTAAGGCAAGGCCATCAGCTCTCAGAACTCTATTTCCATGTAGTATTGGATGTTCTAAACAGTGCAATAAGGCATTAAGAGGAAACTGGCATAAAGATCAGAAAAAAATAAATAAAACTGAACCTATCTGCAGATATAATTATTGTCTACATAGAAATTCCCAAGGAATCTATCAAAAACTCCTAAACCTAATAAGTGAGGTCACAAGATAGGAGATCAACATCTAAAAAGCAATTATATTTCTATATACCGGTGTGAACATGTGACACCAAGATTTAAAAAAAACACTATAAAATTGTACTAATGTATACTAGTAGTATGCCACTTATTTCATTTTCTAGGATTTTGTGTGAGATTTTTTAAAAGATTTTATTTATTTATTTAATTGAGTGAGAGAGAGAGAGAGAGAGAGAGAAAAGGGGAGTGAGAAGCAGACTCCCCACTGAGCAAGGAGCCCAACATGGTACTTGATCCCAGGACCCTGAGATCACAACCTGAGCTGAAAGCAGACACTAAACTGACTGAGCCACCCAGGTGCCCTTTGTGTGATATTTTAATAAAATATTTCTACTGAAAAAAAAAAAAAAAGCATTAAAAGTCACTTAAGAGGCACTGGGTGGATCTGTTGGTTAAGTGTCCAATTCTTGATTTCAGCTCAGGTCTTTTTTTTTTTTTTTAAGATTTTATTTATTTATTTGACAGCGATCACAAGTAGGCAGAGAGGCAGGCAGAGAGAGAGAGAGGAGGAAGCAGGCTTCCCACGAAGCAGAGGGCCCAATGCGGGACTTGATCTCAGGACCCTGAAATCATGACCTGAGCCAAAGGCAGAGGCTTAACCCACTGGGCCACCCAGGTACCCCTCAGCCCAGGTCTTGATCTCAGGGTGATGAGATCAAGCCCCAACATCAAGCTCAGTGCTCAGCGGTGAGTCTGCTTGACAATATCTCCCTCCCTCTTCCTCTGTCCTTCCCCACTAACTTGCTCGCTCTTTGACTGAAAAAAAAAAAAATAATAATAATAATAAAGTCACTTAAAAAAGGGAGATACTTGGGTATAAATTGAACAAAACATGAAAATGACACAATGCTGATAAAAGAAATCAAAGCTCTAAATGCATACTGTGTTCACTCATAGGAACTCAACAAAAATGCAGATTCTCCCCACACTGACACAAAAGTTAAACACAATTGCTATCAAAATTTCAATAAGCTTTTTTGTAGATACAAAATTATTCTAAAATATGGAAAGATAAAGGAAATAGATTAGCTGAAACAATTCTGAGAAAGAAGAATAAAATGGGAGGAATTAGTTGACCTGACTTTAGAACTCAATAGTTTCCGTAATCAAGACTATAGTTTTGGTGGGGAGCTAGACAAATAGATCAGCAGAACAGAACACCCAGAAACAGATCCACACAAATATGCCCAACTGGTTTTTTTTTTTTTTTTTTTTTTTTTTTTTTAAGATTTTATTTAATTATTTGTCAGAGAGAGAGAGGGAGAGAGAGCAAGCACAGGCAGACAGAATGGCAGGCAGAGGCAGAGGGAGAAGCAGGCTCCCTGATGAGCAAGGAGCCCAATGCGGGACTCGATCCCAGGATGCTGGGATCATGACCTGAGCCGAAGGCAGCTGCTTAACCAACTGAGCCACCCAGGCGTCCCGCCCAACTGGTTTTTGACCAAGATCATAAGCAATTCAATGGGAGAAAGACAGCTTTTAAAACAAATGATGCTAGAGCAATTAGAAATTCACAGGAGGGGAAAAAAGACCTTGACCTAAGTCTCACACCTTATTTAAAATTAAGCCCAAATGGATTACAGACTTTAATGTAAAACTATAAAACTTTTAGAAATAAATAGGAGAAAATCTTTGGATCCTAGGGCTAGGCAAAGAGTTCTTAAACTTTTGACACCAAAACAAGATCTAAAACAAAAACAAAAACACACCTGATAAATTTGGACCTCAACAAAAATCAAACCTTTTGCTCTGTGAAAGACCATGTTGAGGGAATAAAAAAAAACAAAAAACAAGCTACACAATGAATGAAAATATTTGCAAAGCACCTATCTGACATAGGACTAGTGCCTAGACTATACAAAGGATGCTTAAACCTCAAGAGGACAAAAGCAAAAACTCCTATTCAAACATGGCCAAAAGACATGAAGAGATATTCTACCCAAGATGACATTCGGTTGGCAAATAAACACAAGAGAAGATGTGCTTGTTACATGAAACTACCCTAAGCTGTCTCAAACCAGATACACACATCACAAATTAATTCCATAGGGTTAGAGACCTACAGATTTATATCCTCTCCCTTTCAAGCCCACAGAACCTCTAACTGTCTGTGTTGTAGGAACAAAAGGTGTCAAACAAGTCCTTAGTTATTTCTCTATTTCATGTTAATGAGAAAAAATAGGATCATATGTTAAAAAGAAATTCAAACCGGCATCTCCTTCAACCTCCTTTTTCTTCACCCGCTTAATCCTCTTCTTTAGGACCTTCATTAGGAAATTAGCAAATTTATTGTTTTCTCCAACAGCTGCTTGGAAGCCAGCATAGAGTGCTTTTTCTTGGTCCTGGAGCTTGGCAATTTCATTCTTTTTCTCTTCCATCTCTTTAAGAGTTTCATTTATTTTCCACTAAGGAACAAAACCAGGAATAAGTGAAAGTATTTCTGATAAACCAGGTTCAGAGAACACTGTATATTGCAATGTAAGGTTACAGTTCACAAACATTTTTTTAATCTTTTCCATAGAAGTTTACATTTCTGATGTTTGCAGAGCCATCCATTTATTTGGTTAAAATTTTATAATTCTCTGGTAAAAATCAGATAAGATCAGCTTCCTAGTGTTTAGCTTCCTCAAAAAATCTAAATTAAGTGAAATTTTTAATGTTGGCTATTATTTTTGCATGTGTGGTCTCAAAAACAAAAGATGTTTTTCATATGAAACAACTGAAACAAAAAGACATCTCATCTCTTAGTGCAGCAGCTTTACCTTAAAAATGATGTTACTATTCAGTATGTAATATCTATTTGATGGAATCTTTCTTCCTTCAAGACAGAAGTTGGATGGTATCATTTATCTCTTTAAATTTAACAAATACATAACAAACAAAGACACTTACTTTCTATGATACTCAATTATATATTACCATGAAACTAGTTATCATATTTGAGAAACTAGTCAACTTCTTTTCCAAGTATGTTCATAAGGATAACATATAATCAAAACTGAACTTTACATGTTAGCTAGTGACCATAAAAATAGACTTTGAAATTTATAAACTAAATAGAAGGCTCACTTTTGAAAACTATTTTCCTACCTACCATACAAAACATCAGATCAAATTCATTGTAAAGTCTGATTCACTTCTCTCTGACCAAGAATACCAAAAGCAGAGCAAGCAGGAGTAAGAGGGGGGTAGGGGTCGGAGAGGAGGAGAGATAAAAGAGAGGAAGACCAGAACAACAGGAGAAATTAAGTTGAGAAGATGAAGAAGGAAACAAAGAAACAAGTCCCCTCTGTACCTAAAGGATACAGCCAGCAAGCATTCTCCTGCCCATTCATACCTGCATATCCTGTTCTTCTTTGTCTAATGAATTAACACGCTCTTGAAGTATATTCTCCTGTTTTTCAAAATTCTTGAGGAGAAGCATTTCTTGAAATAATGTGACATGGTGAAGGTCAGATAATTTCATCTGAGTATCTAGTTTCAGTTTCTGATGTCTCAGAAGATGGAGTTCTGCATCAAAAGTGACTATCAGTTCTTTGATCTGAGGTGGAAAAAGATTTGACTGTATGTTAGAAGTTAAGAACAAGTAACTGTACTTTTAAAACTAATCTAACAATCCTAATTGGTTTAGGTAAAAGCATTTTCTCATTATTCTGTTATCATGGAGAGGGAATTATATGGGCTCATGTGTATGTGCAGTCCTAGAAATCAATTTATCAATATTACAAAATTTATATAAATTTATTAAGCAGTAGGGATTCTGTAACTATAGTCCTTCTAGCTATTTCTTGGCCATGATTAAGCCATCAATTGAGAATGCTCTTCTAGCTATACTATATGGTTTAAATCAGAGACTAGGAGTTCCTTGTGCATAGGGTTTCTATCTGCCTCCACTTCACCCCATAGTATCTCTACATTTCCTTTCATACAGGAAGCACTACATACTCTCCTCAACTTATTTTAAAAATTTTAAAACATTTCAAAAGGTGATTTAATTTGTGACAGACCTGGGATAAGAATGAAATATCCCAAGTTCCAGTCTAAACCGTCTTCCACAGCCATCCCAATGATTTTAAAGGCTCAGTTCTGCTCTGATTTTGGCACAGCTTCTCTCTCACCCTCTCCCAAAGGCAATGAAGAGATCCATAGAGAGTACCAAGGACTGGTTCTCCTGAGAAAACTAGTACAATAGGTAAGAGACAAACCATTACACGTTTCTCATTAGGCTGTGCATGATGGCGAGTCTCAACAGTCAGAAACCTGTAATGAGGGAGGGCCTAGCCTCTAGATGAGGAAAAGAAAGAGATCTGTGGGTTTGGGACAGTGAAACTACTGCTAGAGAATTTGAGAGTTAAAAAAAAAAAAGGAGAAAAAAATTAAACTTTTACTTATGGATAGTTGTAGACTAAGTGGGCTCCTATTTAATGTTTATTCACAAGTCTGAATTATTTTTAAATTACTTTCAAGGCAAGACTGTATTTTTTCTGTGTAACACCATCCTGAAACTGTACCACACAGGTTTTTAAGTTGGCAAGGCTCACACTTGTTTTCCTCTCACTCACCTGATAGTCTGTAAACTTTATGAGGATAGAGAATATGTCTGGCTTAAGTATTATTACATCCCTGCTACCTAACTAGCACTGTTCCTGCACAAAGAATGTCCAATAAATGTGTTAAGTTCATACCATTAATAAATTAGTTACAATTAAATCAATCAAAATTTTTACTAATATCTACTATGTGCCTGGCATTTTCCAGACACTGCAGGAAAACTAAAGATGATTATTTGTGGCCCTTCTCTCAAGAACTGTGTAATCTAAGTTTCAAGACAAAACTAACACATATGAGCCCTGAGTGATGTACAGAATTGCTGAATCATTATATTGTACACCAGAAACTAATATAACACTGCATTTAGTTATTCTTCAATTAAAAAAACCAATAACCATAAAACAGCAAGAAAGAGAAGTGGAAAATGAGTTGCTGCTAGGTGGAATTGGAGTTCAGACCAAAGAAGAATATGTAATGTGGACAGAAGATTCTGGAGAAGGTTTGGAACCGGGTTGAGTTTCACATGATGACTTACAACTGAAAGGAAATCATTGCAGGTGGGAGAAAATAACAAAGGAAAAAGCAAATACAAAATTCAGAATGGGGGTGGGGAATGGGAGTGGGGAGAAGCAGGAAGAGAGAGAAAGCAGGGCTGGACAAAGTAGAGACAATAAGTGAAGAATACGTTTGGGGAGTTTTATGAGGTGCCTTCTCAGGGTGGAGCAGGACAGATACTGAGGAAGGGAACACTACACGGCTGGCAGCAAGGAGCCATCTATCCAGCAAAGGTCTTTTTCCTTCTGGATTCAGAGCACCTCCTATACAACTGGCCCCAACCTGGTCTGGTTTCCTAGAAATAAAAATAGGTGCCGTTCCAGCTCCAGAACAATTTTGAATCTGGTCATCACCATGAACACTCCCACTGATGAGGCAAATCACACATTACGGAAAGAGGAGGAGGTAAAAAAACAGAGGGTGCCCAATTTTCTCTGGAAGATTTTTAAATTATGTGCCATCCATCATCTGAAAGCTGGTCCATCATTTCCCCTTTACTGAGAATTCAGTTAGATGCCAAATAACATGGATTTGTCCTTAATTCCTAGCTTTGCCAAAGCAAAACATTTAAAAGCTCTAAAGTTTTTGGGCAGAGCACAATAATTAACAGAAGGCCAGGGATGGGGAAGAAGCTAAGCCTTCAGTGAGTTATGGGCCAGTCAGGGCTTGGGAAAGTTTATTGTAGAGAAAATTTAAATCAATAAATAAGAAAGTATATCTAGTTCTTCCCTGCTCTCCCCTCTTTCAGCTTTAAAAAGGCAGTGTCACCCTTACCCTGTTAGTTAAATACTGTTGCATGTACAAATGTTTAATCTCATCCCTTTTCATAACTTCCAGCTCTATATCAATTGGATCTGCTTTTTCAAATTCCAAAAACTTCACAGCATCTACACTGAATGATGATGCCTTTGATGATCTAGACAATGAATCTCTTGTCGTCAAATCACTGTCCTTTATAGAAGAGAGTCTGAGGAATCCTCCACCTGAGATAGCAGACTCTCCCTTTTCCAGCTGGGAGGACGTTTCATCCTGAATCTTGATCTGCTGTCGCTTAAAATTTAGGAGAGTTTCCTCATCATACTGAAATCTCTTTTCTGGAACTTCTTCCGGGAGTATCTGGGGGACTTGGGGAATAGGAATGTGCTTAGACACATGAAGAGTTGACTGGATGCTCTTCAGTTCCTGAACCAGGCACTGTATTTCCTCAATGACAGCCACTTTAAGGTCTCGAAGAGAGAGGATACATTTGTTCATGTTCTTTTTCTTTGAGTGGGCCTAATAAAAAGAATAGAAGAAAACAAAATGAGAACCCATTCACAAAGGATGGTTTGAAATATTTTTGTCCTTTAACTGGTATGTATGCCTAGCAAAAGTCCAAGAAAAAAAAATTTATCTGATCATTTCTATTCACTACTAAGTTACTCTTTTCTCTAGCTTTTAGGCTGTTTCCCATTGATCTTCTCCAAAAGAGGAAGACAGTGTGGTTGTGACCTCTGGTATCCCTCAGCTGGCTAATAGGGCTCAGTTCTGCTCTCCTCTTCTGACCAATGAGGGGAAGTCCTTCCTGAAGTTTTGTACTCAGCCAGAGCCTAGAGAGGGGAAGGTCATTCTTTAGTGAGGAACATATATATGTAACGGCCTATCCCTGATGGAGACTCCAGTTCCACTGGCTTAGACACATTTAGGGTTGCCCACTTAGCGCCAAACTGAAGTTTAGCCTATTTTTATTCTACATTTTGCCCATATTCTTCTTGTTACTTCTTGTGCAGGGACTATCATGATCTTGAATTTCTATATCATGCACACCAACAGATTACAGGACACTTTCTCAGTTCCTTTTCCATTTACCTAAGCCAAACTATGCCCCCTGCCTCAAGCCACAGGAGCCATAGTGGCCCATTGTTTCCTCATTAACAGCTGTTTCCAAAATGCTCTTCCCAGAGCCTATAGGTAAAAGCAACCCTAATCCTGTGTACAATTAGGCAATGAGGTGGTCCAAAGGCTATTAAGAGTTACTTTGCATAAATATACAGGTTTACAAAAAAGGATCAAAGGCACTTCTCCAAACTGACAGTAGTACTATAGTAGTAGGGGATTTTAACATCCCACTTACATCAGTGCATACATCACCCAGATAAAAATTAACAAGGAGACAGTGGCTTTGAATGACACATTAGGACCAGATGGACCTAACAGATATATATAAAATATTCCATCCAAAAATGGAATACACATTCTTTTCAAGTTCACATGGAATATTCTCCAGGATGGATCACATGTTAGGCCACAAAACAAGTCTCAATAATTCAAAAAGATGGAAATCATATCATGCATCTGTTTTGACCACAATGGTAGGAAAGTAAAAATCAATTGCGAGGAAAGAATACAAACACATGGAGGTTAAAAACATGCTACTCAACAATGAATGGGTTGAGTGAGACCCCAAAGAGGCAGGAAAAAGAAAGAAAGAAAGAAAGAAAGAAAGAAAGAAAGAAAGAAAGAAAGAAAGAAAGAAAGAAAGAAAGAAAGAAAGGGAAAGGAAAGGAAAGGAAAGGAAAGGAAAGGAAAGGAAAGGAAAGGAAAGGAAAGGAAAGGAAAGGAAAAGGAAAGGAAAGAAAATAAAATAAAAGGAAAAAACAGTCCAAAATCTTTGGAATGCAGTAAAAGCAGTTCTAAGAAGGAATTTTATAGTATACAGGCCTACTCAAGAAATAAGAAAAAGCTCAAATAAACAACCTAATTTTACACCTAAAAGAGCTAGAAAAGAACCAAAAAAAAAGCCCAAAGCTAGTAGAATGAATGAAATAATTAAGCTTAGAGCAGAAATAAATGAGATAGAAATAAACAACAATAACAACAAAAAAATAAAAGATCAATGTAACAAGGAGCTGTTTCTTAAAAAAAAAATACGCTTTTAGCTAGACTCGTCAAGAAAAAAGGAGAAGACTCAATAAATATAATCAGAAATGAAGGAGAAATGACAACTGATTCCACAGAAATACAAAAAAAATATAAGAGAATATTATGGAAAATTATATGTCAACAAATTGGACAAACTAGAAGAAAGTAATAAAATTCCTAGAAGCATATAAACTTATAAAGTTGAATAAGGAATAGAAAATCTGAACAGATGAATTATTAGCAATGAGATTAAATCAGTAATCAAAAAATTTCCAAAAAAAAAACCAAAAGTCCAAGACCAAATGGACTCACAGGTGATTTTTACCAAACATTTAAAGAATTAACACCTATTCTTTTCAAACTCTTCCAAAAAATATAATAGGAAGGAAAGCTTCCAGGTACATTCTAGCCAGCATTGAAACTGACAAAGCCACTATAGGCCAACTTGTCTGATGAACATAGATGCAAAAATCAATAAGATACTAGCAAACCAAAATCAACAATACATTGAAAAAATTATTTACCACAATCAGGTAGGATTTATTCCAGGGGTGCAAGTGTGGTTCAATATTCACAAATCAATCAATGTCATATATACCATTAACCAGAGAAAGAATGAAAACTATATGATCATCCTAACAGATCCAGAAAAGACATTTGACAAAATTCAACATCTATTCATGAAAAAAAAAAGTTCCCAACAAAGTAGATTTAGAGAGAATATGCCTCAACATAATAAAGGCCTTATATGAAAAACCCACAGCTAATATCATTACTAAATGGTGAAAAACGGACAGCTTTTCCTGAGATCAGTAACAAGACAGAGATGTCCACTTTCACCACTTCCACTCAGTGTAGTACTAGAAGTCCCAGCCACAGCAATCAGACAAGAAAAAGAAATAAAAGGCATCCATATTAACTTCCATTCAAGGAAGAAGTAAAACTGTCACTATCTGTAGATGACAGGATACTATATATAGGAAAAATCATAAGGAGACCATCAAAAATCTACTAGAACTGGTAAAGTAATTCTGCATAGTTACACGAGATAAAATTAATATAGAGGAATTTGTTGCATTTCTATACACTAATAACAAAGTAGCAGATAGAGAAATTAAGAAATCAATTTATTTATTTTTTTTTTTTAAGATTTTATTTATTTGAGAGAGAGAGAGAGCATGAAAGGGGCGAGGGGCAGAGGGAGAAGCCAGCTCCCTGATGAGCAGAGGGCCTGATATGGAACTTGATCCTGGGACTCCAGGATCATGACCTGAGCCAAAGGCAGTTGCTTAACCAACTGAGCCACCCAGGTGCCCAAGAAATCAATTTATAGTTGCACCAACAAGAATAAAATACCCAGGAATAAACTTAACCAAGGAAGTGAAAGATCTGTACTCTGAAAGCTATAAAACACTGATGGAACAAATTGTGGAAGACACAAATAAATGGAAAGACACTCCTCCGTGCTCATGAATTGGAAAGATTCATATTTTTAAAAATATCTATACTACCCAGAGCAATCTACAAATCTAATGCAATGCCTATCAAAATACCAAGAGCATTTTTCACAGAACTACAACAAATAATTCTAAAAATTGTATGGAACCACAAAAGATCCCAAGTAGCCAAAGCAATCTTAAGAAAAAAGAACAAAGGCTGCCTGGGTGGCTCAGTGGGGTAAGCCTCTGCCTTCAGCTCAGCTCCTGATCTCAGGATTCTGGGATCAAGTCCCACATTGGGCTCTCTGCTAGGCAGGGAGCCTGCTTCCTCCTCTCTCTCTCTCTCTCTCTATTTGTGATCTCTCTCTCTGTCAAATAAATAAAATCTTTAAAAAAAAAAAAAGAAAGAAAAAAGAACAAAACTGGAGGTATCAAAATCCCAGATTTCATGATATACCACAAAGCTGTAGTAATCAAAACAGTATGGTACTGGTACAAAAACAGACATGTAGATCAATGGACAGAATTGAAAACCCAGAAATAAACCCATGCTCTTATGGTCAATTAATTTACAACAACAACAACAAAAAAGGCAGGAACATACAACGGGGGAAATACAGTCTCTTCAACAAATGGTGCTGGAAAAATTGAACAGCTACATGCAAAGGAATGAAACTAGACCACTTTCTTATACCATACACAAAAATGAACTTAAAATTTATTATAGACCTAAATGTGAGACCTAAAACCATAAAATTCCTAAAAGAAAGCATAGGCAATAATTTCTTTGACATCAGCCATAGAAACATCTTTGTAGATAGGTCTCCTAAGAGAAGGGAAACAAAATCAACACAAAACTGTTGGGAGTACACCAAAATAAAAAGATTTGTAGAACAAAGGAAACAGTCAACAAAATCAAGAGACAACCCAGTGAATGGGAGAAGATATTTGTAAATTATATATCCAATACGGAGTTAACATCCAAAATACATGAGGAACTTATGCAACTCAACACCAAAAAAAAAAATAATAATAAAATAAAATAAAATAAACCAATCCAATTAAAAAATGGGCAGAGGGCCTGAATAGACATTTCCAAAGAAGACATACAAATGGTCAACAGACACATGAAAAGGTGCTTAATATCACTAATCATCAGGGAAACGTAAATCAAAACTACAATGAGATATCACCTTACATCTGTCAAAATGACAAATAGTATCAAAAAGACAAATAACAAGTATTGGCAAGGATGTGGAGAAAAAGAAATCCTCATGCATCACAGGTGGTAATGTAAATTGGTACCACCACTGTGGAAAATGGCATGGAGTCTCCACAAAAAATTAAAAACAGAACTATCACATGATCCAACAATACTACTTATGGGTATTTATCTGAAGAAAACAAAAACACTAATTTGAAAGGATATATACACCCCCATATTTACTACAGCATTATTTACAATAGCAAAGATATGGAAGCAACCCTAATGTCCATCCATAGATGAATGGATAAACAAGAGGTGGTATATACATACAATGAAATATGCATCTATAAAAAGGATAAGATCTGAGAAAGGAGCAAGATGACAGAGGAGTAGGAGAACTAATATCATTGGGTCTCAGGAGTTCATCTACATAGAAAAAGAGAGATAAACAACTGGACCTTGAGGGGAGAATTCAAGGGATAAATGATACCATAAGATGAAACAATATTAGAATAATTGGGATCCCAGAAGAAGGAAGAGAGAGAAGGGCAGAAGATATATTGGAGCAAATTATAGCAGAGAATTTCCCTAATTTGGGGAAGGAAACAAGTATCAAAATCCAGGAGGCACAGAGATACCCCTTCAAAATCAATAAAAATAGGTTAACAACTTATTACCTAATAGTAAAACTTACAAGTCTCAGTGACAAAGAAAATCCTGAAAGTGGC